CAAACCGATTTTATTAATAATTGAACTGATCGCTTTGTAAAAATTTTAATTTGATTTTGGTTTCCCAAATTAAAAAAAAAAAAATTCAGTTATTTTAAAACCAATTTCAGTTTCAACCAAAACCTGTTTTGCCCACCCCTAATGGCTGCAATCCCCTATATGGGCATCGAATTTTCATTTTGACAAGTTCTCTGTTGATTTTTGAATGAATGATGACCTACCAGCCAGCTATTAACAAAGAACATATTGCGCCTAAAAAAAAATGTCCAAATGATGTAGAATAAAGAATATGCGGCTGCACTCTGACAACGAAGAAGAGACAAGAAATATGAAGGAATATGCTAGTTCTTTCTCAATGGATATGACTAAAAGAAAATATATATTTTCTTTTATATGCTCTTCTATGTTAAAGGTCATTTCCTTCGTAGTTTATGCTCTTCTATATGAATTTGGTGACCTCATCCATGGAAAAAGCAAAAATTGGTGGCCATCAATTTTGAGAATATTATTATGCGAAAACAAGAGAGTATAAGAGAGTAAAAAATTTGATATTTCTGAAGACATGCATCTACTACCTCTGTGGTATGCTTTTCAGCTTCCTCTGAAATGGTTGTAGATAACACTTTCATATAAAGTCATCTCTAAAAATATAAATTTATTAAATTAATTAATTTTAATTAATTTTTTTTATATTTTAATTAATTTTAACTAAGTTTTTATTTTTTATTAATATTAATTAATATTTTATATATTTTTACAAAAATTATAAATAAAAAAATTTATAAATTACTGATTAATTAAAATTTTTAAAAAAGAACTCACCAATATATAAATTAATATACACTTTAGATATTATAATAAATTTTTTTATTGATCAAATTATATTATTGATAAAAATTATAATTCAATTAATTAAAAAAATTCAGCACTCACTACCTTTTTTTTATTTTTTCTTTTTTTTCCTTTTTCATTTCTTTCAAATCAAACGACTCTCAATTAGAGTGCACAACACCTCAATTAACGAATTGGATGGAGGCAATTGGAGGTGGAGACATCTTTCATTACCACACCCTTTCACGAAACCAAGCCCTCCTCACCTTGTCAAAGTCAACTCTTGGCCAAAGATCTGACTCCAAACCTATTGCCACCAATTTCGATACCACTGTTGAGGAGCCAAACCGATACGTACGCAATGGTAATGGAGATACATAAAAAGTATTAGGATCGTACATATTTTTTTATCTACTAGCTATTAAAATATTGGTGAATTTAATTTAATTATTAAAAATAATTAAAAATTATAATTATTAGTTAATAATTAATAAATTTATTAATGTTTATTATTTAATAGATTAAAATCAACTTATAAGTTATTGTTTTTAAAAATTATAACTAATTATTGGTAAAAACACTAATATATAATATTTGTGATTTTATGTGACCATAACACTTCTAGGCGTGGGACTAAATACACTTAAGCTGATAGGATAGGAGTTCACAATAAGTCCCAAATATACATATACTTCATGAGGTTTCATATTAAATCCAAAATATATAGTATCTTATTATAATAGGTGTTTTCTATTTATTTTAAGATTAAGAATTTAGAGATAATTTTTATGTTTTTATTTTTTCTCAAAAATAAAAATAAAGAGATTTTTTTATGATAGAATTATAATTAAAATTAAAAAATAATTATAAAGTTAAATAAAAAATATTTGTTTTTTTAATATAAAAAATTATTATTTAAAAAAATTTAATTCATAAAATATTTATTAT